CTTGTTTAGTTCGTTAGCACTGTCTTCGGCACATGTTGTAGTTCCCCCGTTGTCCTTGAAGCTTATTTCTGGGTTCTTTTGTTTGCCTTTCTTCCAGTTTAGTATCTCCTCTATAGCCTTTCATGTTGTTTTTGGGTCGTTTGTTGTAATAGGTTTTTCTTTTGTTAAGCAGATTCCTGTATTTCTTGAATTCATCTAGTTTACGCGTGTCTTCAGTTTTTGTTAGTGCCTTGTACATTTTGTCCCTTCTATTTATGGAGTTTATTATACCTTGGGTTATCCAGCTTTTCCTTTTCATTTCGGGTTTTTGTATCTTTATCGTATACGCTTCAATATAGCCCTTGACGCTCTGTATGAATGTGTGTGGCATCCTGTGGGTCTGGTATGTTTGTGATTTCGTCCCATTTGTGTGTTTTGAGCAAGCTTCTTAGTTTTCCCATGTCTAACTTGTGTGTATTTTGTCTGGGTTTGTTGTTAGTTCGTATTGGTGTTATCCTCATGAAGATTGGGAAGTGATCTGTTATATATGTTTTCACGATTATTGGAATGACTTCTTTGTTAACTGGAAAACTTTTTATGAAGAAATGGTCGTTACATGTTTTACTGCCTTTACACATTCTGATTGGGGAATATATGGCTGGCAAAAAACCATGGTCCTGGAGGATATTTATGTACCTTTCTGTTTGCGGATTGTCATTTTTTAGAAGGTCTATGTTTAGATCTACAAGAATGTGCTTTTGGTTTCTGTACTTCTCCTTAACGTATGTTTGTAGGGCTGTCAGGAAGAGCCCACAGTTGTTAGATGTAGAGCTATTTTATCAGCGTGTTCTATTTAGATTTCAATTACTTCACAGTTGCTCAGTTGCATCTTTTTTCTGTGTGTTTTAGTTCATCGTTTATGTATACAATTATTCCATCATTCCTGTTTTGGTAGTTTATAGTGTTGTACTGAATGTAGCTTGGTTTTTAGTAGAGGTTTGGGTTGTCCACAAGTTTCTGTGCATATTATAATATTTATCTGCGTGTCTAGCAGCTTTGTCAGTATAAGCAGTTCCTCAAAGTGTTTATGTGGAGTATATTTATCCCCGTCGTTTTATTTCTGTTTAGCTTTCACATCTTTGGTTTTAATGTAGGCATATTCTTCGTATGTATGTTCCTCAAAATTGCTAAGGNACAGATACAAATATGAATATAATACATTGAAAGCGCATAAATTACTGGTTAGTCAAGACAGTTACTTAAGATAAAGTTAAGTTCCTCTCACTCCAATGACCTTATAATGTATAACTACTAGATGCGCCTTTGTTCACTGCTGTGATGGAAGCGATTAACGCCAATGTAAGATCGAAAGCAATGCATTGCATGATTACTTTGTAAGACAGAGCTAGAAGTATTTCGGTCACGTGAGATATGGCATAAATTGAAATTTATTCATGTTTCTCAATTACGGTTTACATTAATTAAGATGCAAACGTAATTACCAAAATGAATATACTATATTAAAAACGATTGAAATATAAACACCTACAAAATATCAAATTATTGACGATATTTTTTGTAATTGAATACCGAATTTCATACCTTTGTCATAGCATACCTTTGTGTTAAACTTGAANCTGTGCATATTATAATATTTATCTGCGTGTCTAGCAGCTTTGTCAGTATAAGCAGTTCCTCAAAGTGTTTATGTGGAGTATATTTATCCCCGTCGTTTTATTTCTGTTTAGCTTTCACATCTTTGGTTTTAATGTAGGCATATTCTTCGTATGTATGTTCCTCAAAATTGCTAAGGAAATATTTATTCATTGTAGGCATGTAACTGTAAATTTTCGGAAAATTATTCGATTCAAAGTATTAAAATTAAAATCGCGTTCTTAATCTTATCTTAATGATTGGAAAATGGGAAAGATAACGGAAAATCAATAGTAGACATGAGAAACTTTAATTTCAATCTGCGTATGAGAGCACGGAATACATAATAAATACAATCATTTAGATGATAGACGCATGTTAAAATCTGAGAACAATATTTATTTAAATCATTGAATCATTTTGAACTTCAGTTATTCTATCAATAATTTCATCTTCACTTCGAGTTTCACAGTCTAAAAATGTAATTGTCGTGCATTTGTACGAATGAGTGAGAATATAAATGCTACACGGTTAGCTCATGCTCATTTCAGTTTTACCCCTACTCCGCGGCCGGTTGTAATGCGATGGACGAAAAAATTTCAAGCGATGTAATAAATGTTTCACTTTAAAATTATTGTTTGTTTTTTTCTTACAAATTGAAAACATTTTTTGAATTTTATTTATAAGATCTTTTAGTCTGTTAATCAATATTTTACATTAACAAGTTTATACCGAAACAAGTTAAACACTGTAAAAAATTGTTCAGATTTATCGGATCAAAATTTGATAATTGACTAATACGTTTTTGATATACAGGGTGTTTTTGAAATAAGTAGCAAACTTGCAGGAGGTGATACAACACTGTAAAACAAGACAATTAAGTAGATGTTTTTTCCACAGATTATTAATTAACCTACTGATGTTTACGTAAGGTAATTTTGTTTTTCTTTGGTTTCTTAAACCGTATGCTAACAATACTCTAAATTATTCTTTGTAGACTGTTAAAAATTGTTGTAAGTTACATGTTTCTTATATAAATTAATGTTACTGTGGTAAAAAAGTAAACGTTTAAAATATTGTAGAGTATTGCCTTCTATTGAATTGAATGGCAGACTAAAAAGTTGTTCTGAGAAACTATTTTTTTCAGCAAACCAATGTTAATGTTCAAATATGCATTAATGCGTTATCCAAGTTATTTAATACATTGTTCTGTAGCTTCTGACTGTAAATATGTCCCCTATCATTGGCAGACTGTAAAAAGTTGTTCTTTATTCTCACGCTATCTGACAGTTTAAATGGATTGCATTCGTATTTGTATCTGGGTATGTATATTTTTGTTAGGTTCAACCCTTTTGTATAAATACCAAATACCACTATATTATACATTTCACAGAACCAAATAAAATCGTGAAACAAATAATACCAAGTGTTTGTTTATGTTACAATTGAAACATGTTTCATCTGAGCCAAGCCAGAAATCCATTTCATTCATATTAGCATCATATTTTGTAGCTAATTTGTGGTGAAAGAACGTAGATATCGACAAATCGGTTGGTCTGATGACGTGTGAGCGAATCACATTTACTCTAATTTGCATTATATTTTTTTGCTAATTTGTAGCGAAAAAAATATTTTGTAGAGTCTATTTTTCTCGACAATTCGAATCTAATGCGAGCTTGATGTCTATCATGTTAACAGCATGTTGAATTTTTTCAATATTTTGTTAATATTGATTTAGAAAAACTAACGCTATACCTACCTAAAAACGATTTTACAGTTTTATTGGTTATGACTTTAAATTCTTTTATTAGTTTAGTCAAAAAATCATCGGCGTCATTTCCATCGCTCGCGAAGACTAAACCGTCGCCCACGTATAACATGATAAAAAGTTTTTGTTGTCCTTTTGCATATACGTATAAATATGGATCAAATGCACCTTGTACCAATCCGAAACTTGATAGAAAGTCCGTGAAACGCTTATTCCAACAGCGCGATGCCTGTTTTAGCCCGTACAGACTTTTTACGAGTTTGCACACACGAGGAGTCCCGTCTTCAAACCCCCACGGTTGATGCATACATATTCCAGTGTCATTTTCTAAATTGCCGTAAAGAAATGCCGTTTTTATATCGAACTGACGAATGTAAAGGCGTTCACTAGCTGCAACATTTAATAACGTACGAATTGTTTCATACCGCAATACCGGACTAAAAGTTTTTTTTGAAATCGACACTCGATTTTTGTAGAAAGCCCCTGATAACTAACCGCGCTTTATATCGATATCCCTATCCATCAGATTTCGGTTTGCCAATTAACAACCACGTATTATTTTCATTTAACGAATTTATTTAGTCCTGCATTGCTGACTTTCTGTATCTGGTGATTTGATGGCTTCTTGAAAACTTTTGGGTTCATTGGTGTCGTCTACTATCGTCGATCTAAATATCCATATCGGTCAAGTTGTCTGATGTTGTTGCGGTTACACAATTTCATTCTTTGTTGTGTGTTCTCAAATTCCTCTTCGGACTCATCAAATGATTCAGGAAGTAAATCAGAAGCCTGAGTCTCATCTGAAGTGTCAGATATATTTGGTAGAGTTTTTTTACTGTTGTCTACAACTAATCGTTGCGAATTCACTGATTTATTTTCCACAACACACTCCACCAACTCGTTTTGGGTATCAAACAATGTTTCTTTTTTAAACACGACGTCACGGCTGATTTTTACATCGTGTTTTTCCGGAACATACATCATCATCATCATCATAAGGTCATCAGTCTTAAGACTGGTTGGACACGTACCTCCACTCTTTCCTATCCTGTGCTAAACTTCGCATTTCCCTAAAACTAGAACAGCCCACATCCTTAACTATTTGCGAAGAGTAATCTAATCTAGGCCTACCTCTACCCCTCCTAACTCCTGTTTCTGCCTCTAATATGTCTCTGACTAGACCTTCATGCCTGAGAAGGTGTCCTACCAACCTATCTCGCCTATTTTTTATTGACTTCCATAGAGTCCTCTGTTCTCCTATTCTTTCCAATACCTCTTCATTTCTAACCTTTTCTACCCACGATATCCTCATCATCCGCCTATAACACCACATTTCGAACGCTTCTAACCTTTTCTTTTCCGCCGCTCCCACTGTCCATGTTTCGCACCCGTACAACGCCGTGCTCCAAACATACACCTTTAACAACCTTTTTCGAATTTCTAAATTAACCGTTCGCGAGCATAGAAGTGACTTCTTTTTATTAAAGGCGACACGACCCTGCGCTATCCTCTGCTTTATATCCCTACTACTCCTTCCATCCTCACTTATCTGACTTCTTAGGTATCTAAAATCAGTCACTTCTTCTAATTTTTCGTCTCCTATCTTTATATTCGCTCTTTCCCTACTTTTTCTTCCCTTAACACCCATGTCTTTTATAAACTTTTTCACGTGGCGCTTGTTTTTATGCACGAATACAGACACCCAATGTTGGTAATAGTAAAATTAATACCCTTTTTAGCAGTCTTTTTCACCGAAAACAAGTTGCACACCATGTCGGGAGTGTACAATACGTCGTACAATATTCTAGGAAACCACTTCACACCGACCTGAATTTCTATTCGAACAGTACCTTTACCGACGGCACTAACTTCATCACCGTTTCCGACCTTGATTATCACCGGTTCTTCGAATGATTCAAAATCATCAAAAATGCCCATGCTGTTGGTCATGTGGTCCGACGCTCCAGAATCGATGATCCATTCATCCTTGATAACTGGCCAAATATTGTTGCCCCAAATGCTAACACACTGGATTGCGATTTTTCACCTCTCCCTTTTCCTTTAGGACAGTTTTTGTACACGTGCCGTTTGGAACCACATCCGAAACACTCTGGACAATCTTTTCGTATATGATCCTTTTTACCATACGTATAGCAACCCGTTGCACCCTTCGATACATGTTTTTGTTTCGAATTTTGAGTCACTTCAAATTTAGAAAACAAAGCCACACTTTTGTCTACTTCTTCAGTTGTTTTCATCAGTAGTCTTTACTCTTCAGTGAGAAAACGTGTTGTTAAATTTTCAAATGTTTTCTGAGCTGCATTAGTAGAGTCCTACATACTGTATCAACAGTATTCTTGTAAGCAACAGAGTCCGGTATCGATCCACCCAATTTTTTCATACGATTTGCCTTTTGTTTCAGTTTTGCCACATGGTCAACAACAGATAGAGATTCGTCCCACTTGAAGTCAAAAAACTGCTTCTGTAACAGCGACAACGTTTCGTCGGATTTCAAATCATAAATTGCATGTAACTTCTGTCACATTTCAAAAGCGGTGTCGTAATTGATGAGAAACTGTACTGGTTTGGCTTCCATGGTTGTTGTAAATAATTTTCTTGTAGTTCTATGTGCTCTTAATCAGCCCTCCAAAGCATCACTGATATTTTCCCCTTCATTTGAAGTCGGCTTTGTTTCGGTTCCATCACATACTCCCAAGGTACCATTGCAATCTAACAGAGTACGAATCACAAACTGCCACTCCGACCAGTTGCTGCTATCTCGAAGTTTTTCAACCTGAACCTTTTTCATGTCCATCTTTATTGTTCAAAAGAAAAAACACGATTTTCTTCTATATAACACAAAAATTATGTAGTAATTAAACTAGGCTTATGGATCAGCGATGTCTGGGCCCATAATCTATTCTAGTTAATTTTACATGACAGAAAAACTTCCGTATAGTTGAAGAGTTTTACTGGTACTACATACTATGTTACCACAAAGAAAGAATATACATAAAATCACACCGTCAGTGCTGTTTATATAACAAAAATGAAAACAAGAAGTTCTCGGAGTATAAAGCAATAATTTATAGTTATTGTTCGAATTTGTTTAAACGACTAGAGCCGCTCTCACTACAATATGATGTTACACAATATTAGTCAATACATCCTAAAGCTTCTAGTCATAACAAATAGCAACCAAATTATTTTTTTTAATAAATGTCTTGTTAATTATTCAAGTCAGATGTACAATTGAAAATAAGATAAAGAAAGATTTTTTTTCTTTCTTTATATTTGTGCAATAAATTTTTTGTTTCAACCAAATTACGTGAAAATGTAGCTCTTAACTAAACAAAAGAGTGCGTTTTTAAACATTTGGAGTAGTTTTTGCAAAAATTGTTTTTTTTTTTAAAATAATTTTTAAAATTTAAATAACTCATACACCCTTTGATTTTTTCATGAGATTTTGAGCATATTTTTTTTTCAACACTAATTGATCGGTAGTACGTGAAATATCAGTAGAAGAATCGATTTTTTTTTTCAACCAATAACATTAGAAAAAAAGATACAGATTTGTCGCTAACACTTTTCGATAGCTGGTATTTTTAAATGCAAATTTACAAAAAAAATTTCATGTATGACCTTTTGAAGCTGAAATATTTTTTTTGTCTTTGAAGAAATTCGCGTGGCGACATTTTTTAATATTGAGAACTGAAATTTGCATAAGTTATAGTTTTAAATGCGTACTATTTACATAAAAAATAGCAGAGCCCGATTGGTCATTGCTGAGCACTAAAAAATTAATTACAAGAAGAGCTATCTGCCGGGGTACTCCTACATTCGCACTATCGGTGGAGTAACAGCCTCTGAATTTCGATGTGTTATTACATTATTTCGTACCCGATTTGAGCAATATTTTTGTCATAAAAGACATCGAAATTCGATTATGTGAACGTGTGAGTGTCCCTATGGTGAGCTATACTTGTAATTGATATTTTACTGCTCAGCGATGGCCTATAGAATTCTGGTATTCTTGTATGAAAGCTAAATATTTAACTACAACTTATGGAAACAGCACTTAATATTGAAAATGTCGTCCCTCCAAAAGGTCATGTATAAAATCTTTTTTGTAAATTTGCAGAAAAATACCATTTATTGAATGGTGCTAGCGATAATTTTGTAAAAAGTTTTTTCGAATTAGTTGATGTTTTTGGTTTATGGAAAAAGCCGATTTTTAGACTAATTTTTTATTTATTACCGATGAATTAGTAAAACGCGGAATAGTTGCACATGTTACAGTAACAATTGAAAGAAAATTTTAAGCCTAAAATCGCTTGAAAAACCCAAAGGATGAATGAATCATTTAAATTTTAGGAAACTGTTTTCTGAAAAAAATCGATTTTTACAGAAACTACAAAATTTTCAAAAATGCTCTTTTGTTTAGTCATGAGCTGCACATTCACGTAATTTAATTAAAAAATTTTTTTTCATAAAAATACAAGTATTTCATAAGATATAAGTAATTTTTGAATAATTTTAAGAAGTAATTGTTGCAGTAATTTAGTAATTGGCTGTGGTTGATAGCTCATTTATGGCTCCAATAGGGATATGGGCTCCTTTGTTTGTAGTTGTAATTTTGATGCGCAATCATGGATTGTAAAATTGGTAGTTGAACAAGTGTCAATTATTGCTCGGTACGATATTTTGCGATTATTATTATTTAAAATGTAAAGAGGAGTAGTCGGAATGAAGTCATAGTTCGATGCTTCGATAGAAATTGATTTTATTAGGTCCTAGTGTAGTCAACTGGATTCCGTAGATAGGGTAGTGCTTGTTTCGGTGTGTTTCGTATCTGGATGCAGAAAGGTACGATAGTTTTAGTTACAAATTCAGCACTTGTTTCCTCTGTAATTGTTAGGTGAATGTCTTTTATCGAAACAGTTATTACATAAAATCGCTTTCTTCGTTAACTGGATTCGTTGTTCTTTGGTTGATTCGTTCAATGCCCTGCATTTATAAACAGTGTGTGCCTCTTTGCAAATGAGACATGGGTATGTGTGACTGAATGACGGCTGATGATTTATGATTAGATGGTTTGTTGTTTCTTGATTGCGATGAGTTTTTATTAATTGATAAAAACGTATGTTGATTACGTAACGGCACCTGGCTTCGGGCATGCGGTGGAGTTGATTCGTGTAATGACGGTTTAATTGAGATATTCGAGTATTCTAAGCAATTTGCACGTTTTTGAAGGTGTTTTTACGGAATTTATTGTCTGCTAACGTTGTTTCCTATTGAAATTTAGTGCTATCACTAAGTTGTGGAAGTGACATATGAATGACATAAGTATCCCATTTCTCCGCCGGTTCCTTACAGATTTTAATGCACGCAGATGTTCTCTAAAGTTGTCGATTAAATTGTTTAGCGCTTCTAGTGTATCTCTGTGTAATTTGGGTTTCGAAATTGACTTTCTACTGTTAAATTTTCGATATTTCAAAGGTGGGCAGAGGGATTTCAGGTAGCCTGATATGCGAGTTGTTTACGTCTTGATTGCTGCTGGAAGAAGGAAGTAGCGGATTTAATTGTCTGGTGGTTTCTCCTTGAATGCGAATCATTCTAGACATCTATCCAATTGTTTTATAGTAGTAATCTTCAATATCACATAATTCCGTTGTGTAAGTTTCTTCTGCATCCTGATCTTCTAAAATCTCTTCGTCAATGTAGTAGAAAGATAGAAATACAAAAAGAATATGTGGCGTCCTTTACAATATCACCTTATAAGTCATGACCTTTATTATAAAATTTACTTTAGAAAGGACTGTTTCTTACCGGACACTGGATTACTTTAAGGCTCACAAAATTAAGAAGTTTTGCCTATAGAAATGAAAGAAGAGAGACATTTGAGTAATAATATGAAAAAAATACGAAAATTCAGACATGCTGGCGAGAAAAATTGTTATAGTACTATACTGCTTGTTGTGTAGGAATTTATGGAGGGGGAGTAATTGTACCTAATAGAAAGGTAGGAAAGGACATGAAAATGGCTTACAATTACCCAATTAAAGGAACGACGTTTGAAACAATTTTCTTTTATACGATTACGAGATTGACAGTCGTTGATCGAAACTGATTGTAAAAGTTTTCAACAAATACGGTATTTGGAAGTTCATCTGTGGGATGATATGAAAAAAAAAATACGATTATAGAAGTCACAGCACATACATACGCTTTCATAAAATCTCTTGGAAACAGAATATACATTGGTTGTCAGTGTTGCAAAGTATTTGACGACTTGAATATTATGCCGTACAACAACTGTAGCAGAATCGGTCACGAGACCGCCTGTCTGCAGTGGCAGACATTCAACAAAACAATGTAAGGACATCCAATTAGTGAAATGTGTAAATTTTTCTTATAGAAATGATAAATTTGACAAAAAAGTAAATACTAATCATTTTGCAACTGATACAAAAAACTGCGTGTACCTAAAGTATCATATACATAAGCAAATAAAAAATACTTATTATGCTATAGGTACAATGATTTTTAGGATACAATTATGATAATCATTAGAAGAACAATAATGAACAATAACGATTTAGATTATTTCGATTTTGAGAAGAAATTCAAATTACCGACATGACTTCACTGAATAACTTTATTAACTGTAATGACTTGACGCTTATACATAGGAGGCATGCAGACAAATTTTAAACTATTTGAAGTATTTCTTGAAAGATTAACGTCTACACCTGATATCATTGTATGTTCAGAAACTCGACAGCTTTCCTACTTTGAGTATTATAATCTACCTAATTACAATATTTATTATAATCACAGCCATATCAACAGAGCTGATGGATTTATTTTGTATGTTAAGGAACACCTAAATGCAACAACAACAATAGAGGAAGTAGATAAATTAAAACTTTGAACTACTTAAAAAAAAAAAAAAAAAAAACGCTCAAAACATTCCAATTCCGCGAAGACATGTACGTGAACGATCTCTTAACAAGTGGACACTCTGGGGCAGGCTACTTATATTTATACAAACATATCGCAAATCCTACTCAAACGAGGGTTCGGATTAAGAAAATGGAAATCAAACAACAAGGACCCTATCGATAATCGTGCTATGATGACTACGTACACCGCCTAATATGCTTATGTGGTTTGTAGCAATTCGCGTTTCGGAGATTCAGTCGTTGGCCCAAACGTTTGGATGGCGTCACGTTCACACTTTTAACCACCTCGCGGACATTGTGTCTAGAGGAATCAATCATAAAAAGCTACTTACGTCTAACATGATTTTATGGACCTAAATGGTTAACATCTGACATAAGCGGTTGGCCTTCACTGAACGCTATACCATGCGAACTTCCGGAAAACCGTATCGTAACTCTTCTCTTGAAAGAAAATTATCCTTTCCATTTGAAAGATTTTTTAATATAAATCGCTTAAGGCGTTCAACGGTCTACGTCTTGAGGTTTATTAACAATTGTCGCAATAAAGTGGATATTAGTATCTAACTTTTCTAATTTATAAGTTGAGGAGCTTAACTTTATTCGTTTAATAATTTTTTTTCAAAACGATTTCCTTCCTGAAGAATATGACAGTTTACGGAAAGGTCGCAAACTCGGATCGTCTAGTTAAATCTTATGTTTCAATCCAGTTTTTTAATCAAATGGTTTAATACGCGTAGGTAAGAGACCGTCAAACTCAGATTTTCATATGACAAGCAGCATCCGATTTTACTATCACATAAACACAAATTGACTTTTATCGTACGTCAGAGATAAGCTTTGGCCCACTTATGGTCGTAACTTGGTTCGTAAAATCGTTCGTAGCTGCGTTCAGTGTTCGCGATATAATTCAAACACGTTACATCCCATTCTGGGTGACTTACAGAAGGCACGTCTGCAACCAACTCTTCTGTTTACCGTGGTTGGTGTCGACTATGCCCGTCCCTTTTCGCGGATAGATAGAAAGGGTCGAGGTTGCAAACCAATAATGGGCTTCATAGCTTTGTTCGTTTGTTTTACTACGCGGGCTATTCGTTTGGAGTTTGCTCTGTCTTTAAGTGCGGATTATTTTCTTCATCGTTTCGTCGGTCAACGTGGTAGGGCAGTTGAATTATTTTCGGATAATGATATGATTTTCGTGAAGACAGATAAAATTCTGTGAGAAATAAGTGAATTCTTACAGTCGTTATGATTTTATATATATTTTATTTTTTGTATGTATGGATTTCTAATTGTCTAGCAAAATTAATTTTTAATATGGAATATTAATTTGAAAATTCATTTTTCGAATTTTTTGCCCACTACAAACTAACTCAAATTAATGAGGGAACGTTGTTACTGTTGTCACACCCTCGCCGGGAATAGAACCACCCGTGACCTTTAACTTTACACACCAATGCTCTGTCCACTAAGCTACGAGAGATGACTATAGCAAACGACAAACCGTACTTATTAGGTCACAGATCCGTCGAACTAATGCAATTATATATTTGAATATACCATTTAAATATGAAACAGTTTACATATTTTAGAAGTGGTTAGTGTTTAATGCGAATTATTAATCTGAAAATTCATTTTTTGAATTTTATACCCACTACAAACTACCTTAAGTGAATGAGCAGTGGTCAGAGCAATGGTGCGTAAAGCCAAAGGTAAAAAATTAACATAACGTAGTTTGTAGTGAATTTTCAGATTAATATTTCATATTAAAGACTTACCACTTCTGAAAAAGGTCAAAGTGTTTCATATTTAAATTATTTTGTTCGTTTACTTTGATACGAAAATATAATTAAAATTTTTTTATTAACCGCTGTTTAAATATTTTGTAATGTTTGGATAACAAAGAAGATTGTCGAGCTAATAGAAGAAAGGTAGAAATCCAAAAACAGGACAGACGAAGAAGGGCAAAAAAGATATAAGACGATAAAGTAGAAGTGTAGGGCAACTAAGGAACAGTGGATTGACATGAGGTGTAAAGAAGTAGAAGAAAAATCTGAAGTATGTAAAGTGGATGCGGCTTATAATATAATTAAGAGCAATTTTAGAGAAATATGGAAGTAGAGTACAGTAGTAATAATATAGGAAATCAGACAGAGGTCGTTTTGGAAAGAATACTTAGAGAACCTATATGAGGACCATGAGTTAGAGAATATATTAGAGAAGGAAGATATTGTGGAGATAGGTGTGCTAGGTTATCCCATTCGCAGATGATATAGTAGTAATATTAGCGGCAAGCAAGGTGGAGCTAGAGATAGCTTTAAATAAAATGGATGCGGTTTTGACAAAACAGTATTGTATGATGCTAAATAAAAATAAAACAGAAGTACTGGTATGCAAGGGAAGAAACAGTAGAGAAAGAGCGAATATAAAGATAGGAGACGAAAAATTAGAAGAAGTGGCTGATTTCCGGTATCTTGGAAGTCGGATAAGTCAGGCGCAGTGCCGAGTCGCCTTCAATAAAAAGAAATCACTTTTATGCTCGCGAACGGTTAATTTAGTCATTCGCAAAAGGTTGTTAAAAGTTTATGTTTGGAATACGGCGCTGTACAGGTAGAAAAGAAAAGGTTAGAACCGTTCGAAATTTGGCGTTACAGGCAAATAGTGAGAGTACTGTAGGTAGAGAAGATTAGAAATGAAGAGGTATTAGAAAGAATAGGAGAAACGAGGATTATGGAAGTCAATAAGAAATATGCGAGATAGGTTAGTAGGGCACCAAGTTAATAGACACCTCAGGCATGAAAGACTAGTCAGAGGCATGTTAGAGGCAGAAACAGGAGTTAAGAGGAGTAGAGCTAGATTAGATTACTGTTCGCAAATAGTTAAGGGTGTGGGAAGTTGTAGTTTTAGGGAAATGCAAAGATTAGCTCAGGATAAGAAGGAGTGGTGGTGCGTGTCCAACCAATCTTATGATGATGAATGTTCAAGAATCCCTGCATATAAACAAAATTATTTGTTTTATATGAGATGCAGCTACGAATGTGCTGCATTATTTTTACCTATCCAAGTCGGTTTTACTTTTTCTGGTTGTAAAATTAGTAAGTTTAATTTTATACATATTTTGATTGAGAGTGGTTTTAGAGAGGAATATGATTAATAGCTGAAGTCAAGTAAACAAAATTACTTTCAAATAGGCGCAATGAAAAATAAAACTTAACGGGTCTTATTACTATTTACTTATTGCAATTATTTTGATCTAACTGTGTACGATATGAATTAAAATGCTGAAATTGCTTATGATCACTTATTATTATTATTACTACTATTACCTATATCTACCTGTTGCTCATTGATTTGCTCGCTGCTTCTATAAATCTAGCTATTAGTTAGTTACCTCAATTGATCCGTGAGATTATGTATATTGACTTTAAAGTGATAATTTTAAACTTTAGCTCTCTTATACTGAAAGTGCTGGAGGAAAACAAGAAGTTCATTGTATTTGCCCATCACCAAAACATGTTGGACGCTATACAAATGGTTTTATACCAGAATTCTAAAAAATTCATTCGTATAGATGGTAGTACAACTTCCGAACAACGAAAATATTTCGTTGATAGTTTTCAGTATGACGATACTTATGTTTGTGCCATTCTTTCAATAACTGCTGCCAACGCTGGTATAACACTGACAGCAGCCAAGCTTGTAATCTTTGCAGAACTACATTGGAACCCAAGTGTAAGTTACTTAGAAACGTAGTCATAATTATGTATTTCCTCCTCTTATTGGCATTATACATGGCAGGTAATTTTATTTATCTTAACACGAGAACACAGATGTGAAACTATTGTGAAAAATCGAAAAATGATCAAGTTTTGTAGGAAATGTTCGACGACGATCTTTATTTTCATGTTAATTTCTTATAAATTACTTGCTTTCGTCAACACAATGGTTGATCTCTTTAGTCAATCTCCTAAATTTGTAATGACAAATGAAAAATTTCAATCAATCATTTAAGTCAATCGGTGATGACTTTTTTTTTGCTTCAAGTATGTCTTCTTGCCAATGCATTGTGGGTCTCCCACGTTTCATTTTCTCTAAAGGTTGATTACGTTACATAATAGAGAATTATACAGTAGGACCAGTAAAAGATAATTTGACATCAATTGGAGATTTTTCTACTTCAAAAACAGAAATATATCAAGCAGTTTTTGGGAAAGATTAATTTTTATCATGAGTATACCTGTATACCTAAAAGTGCAATTATTCTGGATCCTGTTCATAGATTATTGAGAAAAATTCGACCTTTTATCTGGACAGAAGAATGCCAAAGTTCCTTTTAAAAAAATAAAAGAACATTAGACAATCGTGGAATTATTTGACCAACAACAAAAACAACCAGATTGCTGAGAAAAACCAGTGGCCTACTTTTCAAAAAAATTTAACTAGCTGGAAAGGAGAATAAAGCAATATACTTGGAATGTCTAACAATCAAAGAAGCCGTGAGGTACGGAAAATATTGACTTATATTCAGATCATAAACTATTGAAAAACTTAAACATAAAATCTAGGACGGATGAAGAAGTACTACCAATATGATTTTAAAATAGAGTCTGCCTCAGGTAAAAACAATACTGAAGCTGACTAAGCACAAATCCGATCTTGGAACCAGGCATAAACGAACACGACCAACTCAATATTTAAATTTAATAAACCTAAGAGATATTATGAAAGTTCCAGAAGAAAATGAAGATACAGTTCAAAAGAAATAAGTTAATATCTAATTATAATGTTTATTATAAGAAAGTAAAAAAAAAGAGAAAATAATGTTATCGGAATAATTCAGCTTGGAGTTTATAAAAAATGTACATGAAAAAATGTACCATGGGGGAATCAAATGCAACAAAAAATTGTCCGTATTGTACGGCAAAAAATTTAACGCGAAATATGAAAAGACTACAAGAGTGGTACAATATGCATAAAAAATAATACAAGACAAGGAAAATTTGGGTTGATGTCTCACTTAGGTCCTGTCACAAAACCATTGGAAATAGTATCTGTAGATACAATAGGAGGTTTTGGAAGCTCGTAGTCTTACATCTTCTGGTTGACCACTTCAGAAGCTACGCATATATTGCAACATCAAGAATTCAAAATTTAAGATATTTGTAAAATACTTATCCTTATTTTAATTTTAAAAGTATAAAAAATATCAAGCGGATTTTCGCAGGAATGATAGTTAATGCACATAATGTTTAGGGGAAAAATTGAAGAATATCTGTCCTTGGGGTTGACATATAAAATAAACAATTACTTCGTGTATGAATACATAGATATTAAAGTTTAGACAATGTAAGATATCCGAACAGTCAGTTTTACCATTTATAATTTTATAAAGAAAAACAACCGAAAAGTAAGTTCTTCTTTGGTTTAAATCATTAAACTTAAATCTAGACAATAAATTTTCTTGCGGAATACCTCTAGGTGGATAAATTCCGTCAGATTTAAAAGATATAAACTTCAGAAAGTATCTTTGAACCTTTTCTGTACTAGTCCTATGTATATTATAACCCAGATTCTATATGATGCATGCGTTTTCTAATTTAGGACGTATTGTACGACGAAGTGTTTGGTATAATAAGATAATTGTATTTATTCCTAGAAACTGTCTAGAATTACGAATAATTTGAAAGCTTGCATAACAATATCGTTAATGTGATTAGCAAATTCTAGTTTAGAATTAAATGTGACACCTAAATCTTTGAATTGCTCTTCTTTCGTTAAGCAGTTACTATCTATATTCTAGTTAAAAGTAACGTAATTAGTGAGTCATATAACAGCATTTTTCTATATTCAGTGTCATTAATTATCATTACACCAAGCGTTAAAATTTACCATATCAATCTGTAAGTCTAGACAATCATTAATATTTTCAATCCGACAAAAAAATCATCAGCAAACATTAGCATAAATAACAGAATAAACAGTACTGCATCCAAGCTGACCCCTGAGGATCGCCTGATGGGGTGTAAATATCATCTGACTTGAAACCATAATATTCCACATATAACTCTCGGCTAAGTATGATTGAATAAATATAGCGAAATTAACAGTTAGGTCATACATTAGTAGTTTATTTAATAACACACCATGATTCAAGCGGTCAAAAGGTTTGGACATGACGTCAACTTGACCCCCTTTGTCTAATGTCTCGGATATGATTGAAAGAGATAAATAATTTGCTAAAGTTCCATAAAATAACAACCGGTCTGAATATAAGAACAAAAGACTTTCACGGCCGGAATCCATAGTAGAATGAAGATTCGGGCTATAGGGCCGTGGTCTAAGTGAACTATTGCGTCCAGACGTTTCGTCAGCTACTGCGGCTGACATCCTCAATGGTAGTGCTGCGTTGACAATGTGAACGTAGATTGTCTCGACAGCGACTGGGTGGAGAGCTGTTTTTTTTTATTAGATTATTCTTGAGGAGGGGAAATCTTCAAAAGACACCCCCTGAAGGGAAGTAGTGTCGGATTTTTACCGACTAAAACCCCTCCTCGAGAGGGGAGATAAACCCTGAGGGTTACTCATCCCCGGGAAAGGAATGGAAGATTTGGATTTGGGAGAGGAATGAGAAGGGAAATTTGTTAAGCATGGGGGGGGAGAGAACTGTCGGAGTAGGTGGTCCACCTCGGAGGTGGACACTCGCGCTAAAAAGTGAAGCTAAGTGTGAGCGAGAGGGAGTGGCTCATTGTAGAAGGTGACAGGTCCTTCGGAAACGGTCGTTTGGCTTCGCGGCGAAGTTAGAGAGTGTCGAAATTGTGGGGTTTGCGTGGCCTGTCACTGAGGCCCGGAGATTTGCTGCGAATGAGATTGAAGCCTCAGGAAGAGAAGGTAAACCGGTTTCTTTCACAATTTGGGTGTTTCTGAAGAACCAGGGATAGTTTAGTGCGGAACAAAGGATCCGCATATAGGTGCCTTGAAGAGGTTTCAGGCGGTGAGGGAGGGCGCAGCCCCAGACGGGAATAGCGTAGGAGCAAATGCTCCTGATTATTGCGTTAAATGTACGGATTTTCGTATGTTGGCGATGGAGTGGTTTCGGAAGAAAGGCTTAAGTGCGATGTATCCACCCATTGCCTTGTTATGGGTAGTTGCGATGTGCGGCCGAAAACGACGCCTAGGTAGGTGACTCCACTTGACGGGACGGTTGTTTACTAAGATGGAGGGAGGTTTTCGGGACCTACGAGAGAAGAAAATTGCTTCCGATTTGGTCTCGTTAATGGAAAGTTTTCGTTTTCGGCACCAGTTTAGGAGCAGGGGCAGAAACTTATTAATTCTCCCTGTGCATTGGAGAATGGTTTGGGCGGAGTTTATGAGGGCAATGTCGTCCGCGTAGAGAGCTGTCAAAATAGAGGTGTCGGAGGGCATGTCCACACAGAACAGGTTAAATAGAATAGGTGATAGTTTGGAGCCTTGTGGGACACCGACAGTGACGGGTTTACTGGCAGAGAGAACAGAGCCGATGCGGACCTGAAGGCTTCTGCCTGTGAGAAAGGACCTGATAACCCCAACTAGAAAATGTGGAATGTTAAGTGCGATGAGTTTTGAGATGAGGCCTTCGTACCAAGCTCGGTCGAATGCTTGTTATATGTCAAGAAGAAGCATGGAGATGTGACGCCGCTTATTAAGTTTGTCGGAAATGTATTCAGATACGCGAGGAAGTTGGTGGCCGGTACCGTGATGCCGGCGGAAGCCGTGTTGATGATCGGGGAGAAGGTTGTTTTGCTCCACGTTGTCTAAGAGCCGATCGAGAAGGATTGATTCAACTACTTTGCTCAACGAACTGAACAGGCTGATGGGCCTGTAGCTTGAGGGAGAGCTGAGGAGCTTCCCTTTTTTGAGGAGACAGATTACAGTGGCTTCTTTCCAGACCAAAGGAAAGTGGTGGAGCCGCATGATGGCGTTTGTGATGTTGCAGTACGGTTATATGCTTTGGCGGCAGGACTTTGAGGACGCCGTTTTGAATTCCATCAGCGCCAGGGGCTTTCCTCTTTTTCAGAGAACGGATAGAAAGGAAGATTTCAAGGGGTGTAGTGTGTCTGATTTCGGAATTTAGGGGAACGAAGTTCTTGGAGACGGCTTTGGTCGCCTGGGGGAGTAGAAGGGGGAGTTCAGAGAGGTCTCTGTCCAAAGGGGGACAAGTTTCTATCGAGTTTGTGGCCAAAGAGATAGGTCTGTGCTTTAAAGAATTCCTAACAAGAATGGCGACACCGCCGGCACTGCGGTTTTCACGGTCCCTTCTGTAGGATGAGAAGTTTGGGACGAAAAGTTTAATTTTTTCGGACAGGTGGGTTTCGGTGATGCAGGCAACACCGATTTACTTATCCTCGAGGAAGTGCTCGAATTCAGCCAATTTACCTTTAACGCTTTGCGCATTCCAGGTAACTATGCGAAGATTGTCTGGGTGGGCAGTACTACTCACTGGTGGGCGTTTGAAGGACGGTGACCAGACTTGCTACCATCGTTTGAACGATGGCCTGGATCCTCTATTCAAGAGAAGAAGATGCAGGGGTGTTTGGGGACGCATTGCGTTTTTGAGGGGAAAGGGGGGGAGCTGCTGTCACTGCCCTGGCGTAAGATTTTTGGGGGATGGCTGTTGGACGGGGCGCTGGTTGCACTGATTTTTGTGTGCTGGGGGGCACTATAGATGTTTGGGAGGGTACGGTCCTCTTTGGAACCTTGGGGCATCCGCGATATGTGGCGCGGTGACTTCTTTTGCATTTAGCGCAGGAAGGAGTGGCATCTTTCTTGTCTTTTGCCTTACATTCGGCAGTGATATGGTTGCGGCCACAGAAGGAACAGACCCAAGGGACGTGACTAATTCGCCGTGTGAAAGAACTTCAAACAACGGCGACATTGGGGGATGTCTTTTGTGGCCCTTCTTGGCTCAACTTTTATGCTGAGCCCGCAGACCTTGCCAAGTTCGAAGATAGACTTGAACTTCGGGGATGATCTGTCCAGACGAACGGACACTAAGGGCCAGATTTTTCCACCTTTGGACATTCGGTGAACGCCGCGGGCATCAAAGCCTTTATGAACAAGTTCGGCTTTGACACTGTCAGCAGAAGATAAGCGTAGTCTGATAATATCGGAAGCTGTACCACCTAGGCTCTACGGCCTGCCAAAAATCCATAAACCAGGCATCCCTCTTCGTCCTATTGTCAGCGCCATCGGATCTCCCACCTATGCTCTCGCGAAATATCTCACCAAACGTTTAGAGGCGCATGTAGGCATGAGCGACTCATTCGTGAAGGACTCTACCCACTTCATCGAAAAATTGGTGACATTGAATCTACAACCCGGTGACATGCTCGTGAGTTTTGACGTAGTGTCCCTCTTCACTAGGGTTCCAGTCAAGGAGACCCTTGGATACATACGGCAGATCTTCCCTGAAGACATCACTCTTCCGCCTCGTGCTCACGACTACATACTTTCAGTGGAATAACACCTTTTATGAACAGGTAGACAGGGTAGCTATGAGGAGTCCTCTTAGTCCAGTGATCGCCAATTTCTACATGGAGCATTTCGAACAAGAAGCGCTTAACTCTACAGTTCTGAAACCTAAATGTTGGTTTCGTTATGTAGATGACACCTTCATTGTCTGGAGTGATGGAGAAAAAGCCCTTGCCAGGATTTTACTGCACATCAATGCCATTCACCCTCGTATTCAGTTCACTAAGGAGAAAGAAAACAACGGGAAACTAGCCTTTCTAGACGTACTTGTCAACAGAAAATCCGATGGATCCCTGGGTCACACTGTGTATCGCAAACCGACACACACCGATCGTAACCTCAATAAAGGCTCCAATCATCACCCAGCGCAGAAGCGAGCCATGTTGAAAACCCTTATTCATCGAGCTAATCGTATTTGTGAAGCTTCTCTTTTAAATCAAGAACTCCGTCATCTAGATCAAGCCCTTCAATCCAATAGCTATACATCACAGGAGATCAAACGTGCTCTTCATCCCAGGAGAACTGCACCGGAGACACCTCAAACCACCGCCCGTAGGTTTCGCCTCCCTACGGAAGTTATTGAATTGAAACTTCTTCAAACCCACACAACAGCTGCGAACCTTAATAAGATCAGCTAAAGATCCTAGAGAACCTTTAACATCTGCTGGTGTTTATAGAATGCCTTGTTCCTGCGGAGGAGTCTACATTGGTACCACAAAACGCAGCATCAAAACAAGAATAGGCGAACGTGAACGCTGCTGTCGACTTCTACAACCTGTGAAATCGGCCCTAGCTGAGCATTCAATAGGAGACCCGAACCATGTTATTAACTACGACGGAACTACGGTTTTATCTATAACTTCGCAATATTACGCTCGCTTTCATAAAGAAGCTATTGAAATTTATAAACATCCGATTAATTTTAACAGAAAAGAAGAAAGGCTTCCTTTGAATAAAGTATGGTACCCAGTCCTAAAGAAAACTACGCAGAAAGCGCCAAACACACTGACAAGCCATTCGAATACACCGAGCGTTCATCGGATGAGTCAAGCTGACGCTGACGGCGACGAACCCACGCCCCTATCCCTCCCACTGCGCCACAGTAAAAATATCAGTGATTAGCCAGCTCTCCACCCAGTCGCTGTCGAGACGTTGTCAACGCAGCACTACCACTGAGTATGTCAGCCGCAGTAACTGACGAAACGTCTGGACACAATAGTTCACTTAGTCACGGCCCTATAGCCCGAATCTTCATTCTACAACCGGTGTGAAATTTTCAATTTTGGATCTGTCATCCTTCTTGAAAATTGGGCAGATTTTAGAATGTTTGCAAAGAATAGGGAAGGTGTGAGTTATCAAAGCTTGGTTGAAAAAAGAAGGTTTAACTATCAATATATAGCAGCCACACTGTCGTCCGTCCGTTTATCCCCAACAAGTAAACTCATTTACAGTACACCTTTTAAATATTTGATCATCAATTCTATTAAATTTACAAGCACCAGCCATTGTTTGTAGCTGAGACAAGACTTGTTCTAGAACAAAATTGCCATTAATGCTTTGAACCGTTTGAGCGTTTGTTTTTTCAATATTATTGCTAATTACAGTAACATATGATGGAAAAATTTGTGTCAGTAGTTTTAGAATGTTAGAATTATTAATAGCTTCGTTTACAATAAGTTCAGGTAACATCGTTTCCAATGTTTGTCTACCACTATCATGATTAAGAGGCATATTAGGTTTAGTTTTAAACCAAGTTATTTCAAAAATACTTAATGTTTTACGATGTATTTCATTTAAGTCAATTACTGAAATAAGTATTTACCTTTAAAATACTCTGCATCAAAATTATATTCCTCCAAATATAATCCTATTCGGTTCAACTTAGCATAAAAAATTCTCATAGAAAATAAATACACCAAGGGTCTATGGTCTGATCTAACTAAAAATTTATAGTCGTACAGATATTATGGTGTAAAGTAATTAATTGCCAAGTGTACAGCTGCAAACTTCTTGATCACAGATTTGTAAGATTCTCCTTTTGTAAAAATTAGAAGCATTAGCAATTAGAAGTTCCTTACCCTCGAAATTCTGGAATAGAACAGCTCCATAAATTTCCATAGAAGTAAAACGAAAGGTTTTGAAAAATCCGGAAACTGCAGAATTCCAGGATTAACTAATGCTGATTTAAGTGAAATTTAAGCATTGTGACATAGCTCAGTACAATTAAAAATAGATTTTATTCTGGTGAATTTATTTAAAAGTCGTAAAATACCATCAGCTGGAATTGGAAAAGCAGAGTAGACTACTTAAAATCAATTTTCTAATTTATATTTTCCTACAAATATATTGGTTGTGATACTCCTTAATGAATGAATTGTCCGTCACACCTTTAATTTTGCTGGAGTTAGAAGTACTTATAATTAAAACAGAATTTATTTTAATTCGTTTGAAAATTCGGCTTCCGCATCGATTAAGAAGGTAACCCTAGAACATGTCATTTCAGAAGACAAAAATACGAAGTTTGAAATGTTACCCAGCTCGAAAGTCCAATGCTCGAGTTTCTTCTATTTGAACCTAACCTTTCTGAAGTTTGGATATGGGTCCAGGTGTTTTCTTGTTCATTAGTGGACCATAATTTTGCGTTAATAACGTTCGCAAGCTTGTGGGCAGAAATATTTTAGTCTTACATTTGCAAAAATAAACTCAAAACTGTCCATCCCTATTGTTTTGCCAACTTTTAATGCAAATCTGGTATCAAAAAATAGCTAAGTATTTAATTAGGGGCTGGTCATAAAGGGTACGGCGTTTATAATCAATAATACTTAGAAGACAGTGACATTTGGGACATAAAATATTGTAACAGTTTTGTAACAAAGAAAATAAACAAAATATAATAGTTTTAACGTCGGCCTTGGCAAACTCCAAATAGTTGCAGCATGCAAATGACATGAGTACTTACTATCGACTGTGCACAAATTACGGTTCAGTAGGCCGAAATCACTTGTCTTTTTTCCGTTTGTTGTTAGTAATTTCTTATTATCCAGTTTGTTTAAGGCAGTGTTAGGTTCATAGGTCCAGTGATATGGTTATCCCGCTCACCTAATCTGATGTCAAATGATTTTTACTTGTGGGACTAAATAAAGGAATTGGTATACGCGTCATCTACTGACACGGTGGGTAAATTATTAACACTTTTTAAGAAGGGTACACATTTATTTTTAACTGTGACTTTTTTGTAACATGGAAGTGCTTTCCCCTGGTAAATAAATAACAACTGACCGATTACGTGAGTGACATGTACTTATACCAACCAAGATTCATCGTACTACAACACAAGGGTTATTCAACAAAATACAGGCCCGTATTCAAACAAATTATAAGTTCAAATTTACGAAAGCTATTTATGTGACCATTAATCATTGGATTGCAAAATGTTATAACACTTTTTGTTATATTTTGAGTCAAGAAGCCACGTTTCTTTTTTCATTGATTATAATCGCCATACCTTGTGTATTCTGTAAGAATTCATTGGTTCCAAATCCCAGCATTTTTAATTTTTCCTAATGATTTTGTTGTTTTTGGGAGTATCAATAGTCTTTTTGTGGAATTTAAATAAAATAAATACATAAAAATAAATTTATAAGCAATATTGAAATGGAAAAACAAATGTGTTTAAAATGATTCATATGCCGCAGAAAGTGTTGTCATTTCACGGAAATTGATCTGCTTTACTTCCTTAATTATTTCTGACCTTGCCATATTTTAAAAGTTCCGGTAATTTTAAATGCGTTTTTCATATTAGGTTGCAAAAGAGGTAATATTACGGTGGTCTTACTACCAATGTCTTTATGAAACGCGTAGTTTAAATTAATTACCAACTTTCTTTTAGATTTTAAGTCAAGCCGAAAGCAGGGCGCATCGAATAGGACAAGAACAAGAAGTTATTGTACAGTACCTATTGGCACCTGGTACAGCTGACGATTATATTTGGCCTCTCCTACAGAATAAGCAAAAGACTCTTAACGAAGTTGGCCTCTATAGAGATTCATTTGAAGATGCATTTGTTGTAAAACAAGATTTGAACAAGAAACAGGAATGTCTTGAAAAACACAAATATTTGGGAAACGTAGATATTTATGAGAAACCTAATCCAATATTAACTGTAAGTGATGGTATTGAACTGAATGCTGCCAACGACTGCAAACAAGACGTTAATATGGAAAATAATTTACTAAATGATGATTATGATGATGCGTTGAGTGAATTAAATTTAATATAAACTTCCGACATTTTTGTACAAATTTAAATAAACAAATTTTTATTAAATACGAGTTATTTCTTTAAATACATAGTTGTAATATTAGTATTCTGGAGGTGTTTTTTATATCGAAGTTCGGCTTTGTACCAGGTCATGTCTGTTGCTGTTCGAAATAAAAATACCTGAAACAACATAGCAGGAACAATACGTGTACGTCTATTATTCGAAAACATTTTTTTCACAAAAATATAATTATAAAGTTGTAGTTGGTGCAAGATATATCCTATGTGTGATATTGTTTTGACCAAATTAATTCAGTGTCGGTATCGTATATTTTCGAAAATATTGAACAGATGACAGATGCTTACAGCTAGGTTGCTATAATTTAATTTAATAAAAGCAGGCATGGAAATTAGACAAGAAATGATAGCAGTTCAAGAAGTAAAACAGAAATAAACTAAGCTCATGAAGAAATGAAGGAGGAAATGAAAATAGAAATAAAGAGCAGAAAAAGGCACAAATAAGGGGATGGAGGAAATGATAAATAGTACTAGAAAAGAGACCGGAAAGAAGATTGAAGATGGAGAAATAAAGATAATTAAGAAAACAGAATAAACGAAAATGAAGATGGAAAATAAGTTGCATAGAATAGAAATCAAAATGAAAAAGATGCTAAAGTAAATGAAAAATGAAATTGACGAGCTAAAAATACCCTCCTCTGGGAGAGCTGATTAATTACACCTCCAACTTTCGATTTGAAGCAGTTTCAGGCAGCGACAGGAACAAACGCATGGATCGATTCAGAAGAACCAACAGCATTAATAATTTATTTACGAGGAGAGGCACTGAAAAGCAAAGAATGCCCGAGTCTTAACAATATGACTTTCACCATCTTGTCAACCGTCGGGAAATGTGAAACGGCGACAAATATCTACAATAGGTGCATCAGAGGCAACCGAAAATCTGTAACTCTAACAGTTTGAGTCCGATGTGCAGCGGCTCGTAAGATTAGCCTACACTGCTTCTCAAGAATTGACGGACCAACTGGCAGAAGCAACATTTATCGAATGGAGGACTTCTTAGTTCTTAGAGTGGGACGCCACAAGACTCCAAACGAAGCGTTGTCGCATTCCTTAGAGTTTGAAGCTGTAAAACAAAGACCATCTACAGAAGAGGGTATCGTGTTGCTCATTAAAGAATGCATTAACGATGTTAAGAAAGTCACTCTAGAGATGGGGCAGAGCGGAGCTCGAGGTGTTAAGATTGTGACCTGATTAGTTACTTTGCTCGAGTTTGCGGAGGCTGTAGTAGTCGTCTGAGGCGTTGGTCCCATGATGTGGGTAAACAGATCCTGGGAAGATAGTTTATTGAAGATCAGAGGTGTTAACCCTATGATAGAGTAAAGAAAGTACGGAATTCCTGGGTCAATGTTAACAGATGTGAATCGCCTGAGCCGGTCAACAAAAGGTTATTATTCCCAGTGGAGCTGTTATTGTCATGCCCTAGACCACGGAATTTTGGGTGGAATATGGGACAGCACGGATGGGACATGTCGAAAGCGGACACTTCGAGTGCTGCTTGCGAAGAGAGGAGTGTCGGAAGTCTTGGAAGTGGTCTATGACAAAGGGCATTTTGTTATTTCGAAGACACTAGAATAGATACGTGAGTGATTTTAATGGCTCAGAAGTAGAAGACTGGTTCAGAAAGTACCCTACATGAGCCGCTAGTAAGGGCCAAATATGAGACGTAACGGACGAATGTAGTAGTACAACGCGGAAACGCCTTTGAAGAGAATCGTAGTAGACGTGGCAGAACCATTACCAATGATAGACTCCAGTAACAGATAAACCTTAGTCATACTAGATACCAAAATTAGGAAGCATGTATCATTACCGAAAAACTTGTCGACAGCTAGATTAGCGGATATGGAGCATCAGTGGTATTGTATTCCTACGAAGGCAGAAACTTCAAGTTGGATCTTTTTTTAAGGAAGGTCACTTAACTGATAGGCGTTACGAAAACGAGGACTACGCCCTTACACCCACAGTCTCGTTGGATGATTAAACGGTTTAACGTTACTCTGGGAACCAATCTAAGAATCTTCTTAAACGAGCGCCGAACTGACTGGGACCAACGCATACTACTATTCCTCTTAGCTTATAGGCCCGTCATCCATGAAACAACTAGAAGAACATCGACCAGCATTTGATTTGGAAAAGAACTCGGGCTGCCCTGGAGACTCTCAAGTATCTACAGTCAAATACCTGTGCAAACTACAAGAACAGTTAGAAACCATCCATAATGCGTGTATCGAAGTTGCAATTCGAGCCAAGTTTGCTGGCTTTATTGAAAATGATGGAGTGTGACTTTACAATCCATCAAGACAGAAGGGATGTTGCTCGAAACTACAACAACCTTATGATGTCCTATACACCGTTATTCGACGAATTAACGACGCTATCTATCGAATTCAAAAGGGGCCTCGGACCAAAATGAAAGTCGTCCATCTTGATCGATTTGCTTCATACGGAAGTGACACCACTGTCACGTGTGAGCAACGCACCATATGTTTGTCAATAGGCCTACAGTGGGTTGTCTAGGTCTTACTAGTAACAAAGACCAAAATTTCTAGATTTTCTATTTCTAGAACATTTACAGCTCCTTAAAATAGTTGCTCCAATGTCGGGACGGTTTACAACAGTTCAATCAACCTTCACAGCGGGTGAACGTAGTCAGCAGACAGCAGCAGCCTACCGATCAACCAGCAGCAGTCAGCAGAACTTCATTGACATTTGCAGCGACCGAATGTTTTACATTTCGTAGCCTACATCTAATAGGCGTTCTTGTTCGATAACCCAACTTTACAGCCCGACTGTAAGTCCTTTAACTTTACAACTAACCCACATTGATTAGAACGACCTACGTAAAGTTCCTTTCAATTAACATCTACCCTGTCAACATGCTATTAATTAACTAACAACACTAATTATTTCACTAATAGCGGCATAGGCACTTAATAAATATACCCACACACGCGCTAATCATCAAAATCAAAACTTAAAAACCACTTTTCATTTTCGGTTTTCTTTAATGGAATACCTACTTGGGCTCCTTACCTGACCACCACCCTTCGTCCTTTGTTTCAACAACTACTACAATTCACTTCTAATCGATAAACCGGGCAGTTTTCCAATCAAAAAACCAACAACACTATATGAAGTTTATCTTCCATTAATTCCTGAACCCAACCAAAAAGTCCTTATTATCTCATTTCATCAAAAAATGTTACATCTCAATGTCCTGTTATCAGAAAAAATGAAAATCTCACCGAACCGAATAAGCTCAAAATCTTCTACCACATCCAAACTAGACAATCACAGCAAAAATTGGAAAGTGCTTCGAATTTAATCACAATACCTCGTCCTGCTCTTAAAAACAACCGTTTTGCTACCGCTGCTATGGTAACCATCTGTCGTCATCCTGCTCCAATTCCAAGGGCAAACGTCTTGCTTTCGACATCAAATGGTTCAACAAATCCTTCCAAAACGCCCTTACACCCTCCAAAGTAACCCCAATTAAATGACCCTCTTCTTCAGCGGGCGCATTGTCGGAAGACGAATCATCTGAAACCAATAGAATAAGTTATTCAAACAAGTACCTCATTTTCGCAAAGTTAACGATACCAACTTTCATTAATATTATTTTTGATCTCGCGGTGTGATTTATCGGTTATATTTTTTCATTTTAAACTTTTCAAGTCGTTGGTAAAATAAGAATGCTGTGCTTACCACCTCATGGCTAATTACAAGAAAAGCCTATTTTTTCTATTATGTACACAAATAGAAAGACATAGAATATTTGGCACTTCCTGCAATTACAGAAAAAATTCCGCAAACAACAATCAATTTAGATTTGATATATATTCCAAAAATTACTCAGTTAGCAGATCCGATATACAACCAGCCTGGAGAGGTTGATATTCTAATTGGAGCAGGTTGGTATTGGAGAATCCTGATTGGCTCACCTAGAAATCGAACCGAGTTGTCACCGTGCGTTCTCAGCACGGCGTTTATAAACGAAGGGTAAAAAAGATATGTCTACTTCCTGTCTCTGATAAAGAAGAATTGAAGAAGTAGCGCCGCATTACGTAGACTTAGTTTTATATAATAGATGGTAATATCTGTAGCTGTGTGAAATCTATGTATTTAATTAGTCACTTCAATATTTATTAAAAGCTGACCTTTCAAAGTGGCCGGCGTGTTCTAGTGACCAAGAGAATCGCCAAGGGAAAGTAAGGGAGTAGGAAATCCTACTCAAAAACAACCTCACTCATAGAAGAATTGCTTAATTTACGACACACAAAACCAGTACGCGCTGAATGGTTTTAACAAAAGTTGCACACACACACTCGCGCGCGCTCAAAAAGTAATCATGACCCTAATCGCACTGCTAAACGATATAAGGTATTGGAAGAGAACATTTCAATTGTAGAGAAAGATATTCATGCTGGAAAAGCTACTTCTCCCGTAAGGTTCTTTACGAAGAAATGAGTAGGAGGACTTACTGGGCTCAACAAAGTAACACATCGACGATGAGTTGTAACAAACTGAAAGCAGCTATCTTACAAAGTAATCCTTCAATATTAAAAGAGGAAATCGGTTTTCGAAATAAAGTTATTTTTATGTTTTACACTCTACTCTAATGAAGGACCTAATTTCAACAACTTTTCCATCGGAAGATAATTGTATTCCTTCAAAAATTGTTCTTATTAGCTGACGTGAAATGCTAGAACCAAGGTACATTTTTAAAAACAGGTTTTCATGCTGATTGTCAGAAAAGTTTAATTTACGAATATCTTACATATTTGAATGAGCTTATGGTGCATACATCTTATAAGAACCCAATAAGAAATAAGCAGATTATTGTCTCTATGGCTCAATTATCGATCCGACGGGACTTGAAACTTGACGAAACTCTGGTACAAACTAGAGTGAGTGTATCGGCTTGCGAGTTTCGATGATTTAGGGAGCC